CTGCCGCCGGGCTGGGGGAAGGTAGCGAAGGGGAGGGGACAAGCCGGAGCCTTGGGCCGTCCGGCCTTCTCTCTCCACCCGGTGCCGAGACGCCGCGCCGGGAGCTCCGAGGGTTGCGCGGAGCCCGAGGCGTGGCAGTCGGGGACGGGGAAGGACGGGAGCCCCGCGGTGACCCCGAGCTGCCGAAATTCCCTTGGCTCCGAGGAGCGAGGGACGCACCCGAACAAGGTGAACTTTGGTCGCGGAAAACTCCAGCCAGGTGCCGGAATCCGTGCTGCGGCGGTGGGGACCGGGCGCAGGCTGCGCGCCGGGCTGGGGAGCAGGAGCCCCGCGGCCTCCCTCCGCCCGCGCCCGGGACACCTCGGCCCGGAGCCCCCCGGCCCCGCTCCGGCTCCGAGGCCCCGGGGACCCGCCGCGGCGCCCTCGCCTTGTTTCTTCCCCCTCCCCCTTCGGGGGTGGGGGTGGGGCGGGGGAGAGGGGCGCCCGGAGAGCCGCATCTATTGGCAGCTTTGTTATTGATCAGACACTGCTTGCCGCCAACTTGGCTTCGAGGCTGGCTTCGCGCGACCCTTGAGTTTTCGCCTCTGTCCTGTCCCCCCAACTGACAGGTGCTCCCAGCAACTTGCTTGTGACTTCTCGCCGCTCCCCCGGCTCCCCCGCGTCCCCACCCCCTCTTTCCTCCCTCGCCTTCACCCCCACCCCCACCACTTCGGCACAGCTCAGGATTTGTTTAAACCTTGGGAAACTGGTTCAGGTCCAGGTTTTGCTTTGATCCTTTTCAAAAACTGGAGACACAGAAGAGGGCTCTAGGAAAAAGTTTTGGATGGGATTATGTGGAAACTACCCTACGATTCTCTGCTGCCAGAGCAGGCTCGGCGCTTCCACCCCAGTGCAGCCTTCCCCTGGCGGTGGTGAAAGAGACTCGGGAGTCGCTGCTTCCAAAGTGCCCGCCGTGAGTGAGTTCTCGCCCCAGTCAGCCAAATGCTCCTCTTCGGGCTTCTCCTGCTGACATCTGCCCTGGCCGGCCAGAGACACGGGACTCAGGCTGAGTCCAACCTGAGTAGTAAATTCCAGTTCTCCAGCAACAAGGAACAGAACGGTGAGTCTTTCCCCCCCAACTCCCCCTTCTGTTTTCTCGCTGTGTGCGTTACGTTGGCATTGTGCGTTGGTGTGTGATGTACACCAGCCTGCGAGGGTATAATCGTCTCTCTATCCATGCAAATACGCGCTGCGTTCATTGGCGTGGACTTTTGGAGGTTACGTGCAGTTTGCAACTTCGGGAGCTGCTACAGAGCTCTAACAGGGCAACGTGAGTGCCACTGCAGCCTCAGCTAGAGAGAGGACACCCTGGGAGCGATTGTGAACGTCAGTTCAAATTCACATTGCAGGACCTCTCGTTGCCAGAGTTATAAGTTCAAGAGCTGCTTCTAAAAACGAATCCAAAATGAATGAGTCCTGGCATGTTTGACTTCACTCAGATTTTTTTTTTTTTTTTCCGTTGGGGAGGTGGGTGTTTCAGGAAATGTATCAGCCGCATTAATTGCAGCACTCTAAGTGGAAAGGCATCAATTAATCAGTAAGTAGATAGGAAATATAGAGGTCAAGAGGCCGTGTGGACGTTTTTAGGGGGAATTGAAAAAGTGTACTTCTCTTGAGCTCTATTTTTTTTAAAAATGTGCCTTTGTACTCTGAAGTCCTTACCTTTCTGGTAGTGTGTTTTTATATGTGTTGGTGAATGACTGCTATTTTGTGTGTGCTGGAAACGACTTAATCCTGCATAGGAAATGAGAATTACTTTCAGCTTTCAAGTGTACCTGAAATGTTTAGAAAACTCTCAGATGCAAGTTCCCTTGGGTTGGGATTGCACAGAGCTGGAGAAAGCCTTCTTTCATAAAGCCAGGGCAGCTTCAGGGTGTGTAATTTGCTTAGCCTCTGAACCCCATATGATTTACATCATTCAATTTCTAAACTCTTTTTCTCTTGATCTACCATTATGAAGTCATTTTTGAGAATACTTTGTAAATAGAAATTTTATACTGCACATGAAACCACAATGTTAATGTAGACTGTCTAAAATTAGAATATTAAACACCCTGTTTACAAGTGGTGGCTCTAAATGTTCTTTGAAAGGAAATGTACATGTTTTTACTGCTTTGTATGTCATCTATTCAGAATGCAAGAATGCTGTCACTTCATTAACCAGGCGAAATGAACACAAACAGCATACCTAGAAAATCAAAATGGTGTGTACTATATTTTTAAGTCACAGCAACTTTTTCTTTATGTGTTGGGGTGTTTCAAAGCTTCAACTTTGAATTTAAACTCTCTGAATTGTTCACCTTTAAGAAAGCACAGAAAGTTCTAGAGTACAAAAGTAGACAAAAATAAGGATTCCTGGAACTTTTGTAGAGATTGTTTATATTTGTTGTATGTGCAGCAATACACAGTATCACATTTATCAGCCAATAATAATGTGGTTGCTTCCTACAACTTGCTAATGTGACCGCACATGGCACCTGCAGGCTGCTTGAGTTGCTGATCAAAGGGCAGCCTAGGGATCTATTCTCTAATCACAGGAGCTGCAGAGGACTGGGAGAAGCAATCAAAGGAGCCACAGCACTAGCGGTACCCAGGCAGGAAACAGATCAGACCAACCTTTGTTCTTTCTCATGTAAAATAAATGTCCAGTTCAAAATATTGCTTCTTACTAGACAAGCTTCTCCAGCATGACAATGCGTAATATTCCTGGCTTCTGTGTTCTGTTTTTTATTGTTCCTGTCCCATATCATTTCCCTACTGCTCTGTCTTATCAAGCCTGTCCTGGCATCTGTCATCTTCCTGATTCCCTTTGCTACTTGTGCCTCTCATTGTCCTTTCCTTATTGTTCTTTCTTGTGATCCACATACCATCATCCCTTTGTAATGGGTCCCAGAGGTCTCATACGGTCATTGGCCACTTTACTGAGTAGGTCCACACCCTCTGAAGAGGTGAGTTCATTAAGCCTGACCACACACATTCTGTTGCCATCAGAGGCTGGGCCATTGCCATTCCTAAGATGCATGGTGTTAAAAATAGCCTGGTTGTTTCCTAATCTGTGGGCAGAGTATTGGGCTATGTTTAGCTCTTGGGAGGTTGGCAGCAGGAAGTAACTAGAGGTAGAGGAACTACTCACCTTGTAGTTTTAGCTTCAGGAGAAATGGGACTGGGCAGCACTAGGGGGCAATATAGAGCTATTTTCCTGCACATGCTCAGGTTGATTTTTATGCTTCAAGGTTCCAAGATTTGAGGATAACAGGTAGGTGCTAAAGAAGATCTCCCTGGAATGTGAACGCGTTTGCTGGAACAACGTCTTCTTTTTTTTTTGGCATTCAAATTTTCCATTCCCTTGTGGGTGTTTTCTGCGCTCATATTGAGTTATGATTGGTTTTTGATTGCCCTATTGCTCTTCTCAATTTTGACGATTGTCCAATTCTGTTAAGTACCAACCCTCCTGACGATGCTACATAGAAAATGCCATTGGTCCAGTTCGTGCATTGCATTATTTTGTCAAAAGTCTTTTAAGTGCTAAATATGAAATGTTCAAATTGATCTATTGTGACTTTAGGAGCTCATTCCCACTTTCAAGGACCCCTCCCCGATGATACTCTTTCCTCGAATATTCCAATCTCAAATGGTGTTGACTCCATCAAATCCCCAGGCCTGCTCCGTTTGAATATTAAGTTGGTGTCCCAAGAGGTGTTATAAATGGAAATTGGTTGCTATAGCCAATGCTAGGTATTTGGATTTAGACTGGAACATGTGGAGGTGCTTCAGAATTAGTTTTGAGGGATCAGTGTCATTTACTCTGCTATCAGTTACCCGGTTTTTGACTTAAAACTGTATTGCAGTTCTTGCCACTTTACGGTACAAATAGCTTTATCCTCCTATTGGGCGGGTATTGTAAGTTGTCTTTGTATCCTTCATTGTTAATCTGACTTCTAACCCTCAAGTCTCACCCAAAACCAAGGGGCTCCACATTTAACTTAATAAAGAGATAAAGATAAGAATACTGACTTACGTAGGGTTTCTGGCCTACACTTCCTGTATGAACGTGGGAAAAATTACTAATATCTGTGTGCACTCTTATTTTAAAGAGAATGCCTACTGTGAAATGACTAAGTTCTGAAATGGTTCTTCTGAGTTGTAGCAGAAGGAATCATATACATCAAAAAACAAAACGAAACTAAGCTTACTTTATCTATTGCGTGTAGCCCGAATAGACACCAATCACAAAGTTGTTGATGGAGTCAGCCTCATCTACCTGTGTCACTGGAGAGTGATTTTAATTTACCCATGGACCTGAAACAAGCTTCTTCCTGTTCTCATTTTCTTTAACTATTTTGAGTGTAGATTTGGAATATGCCTCTATTAGTTAGGGTCATCCTTAAGAACATCATTTATTGTATGCGCTCTTTTCCTCAAGGACTTCTGTGGTCTGTGGGGCCATTTACTTTGGGGACAAACGGTCCCCTGGTAATGCCTTTCTGAATACATGTGTCTTGTGTTTATGGCTTTTCTGCCCCTTTTTTTCAGTGCCAGTTTTGTCCTCCTGCTACTGCCAATGTGCCTGTGTCTAACCAAACTGTGCCCACTCTCCCACCCTTTATAGGTGGCAGCTCCAAAGCTCTATTTTACTGAAAAACATAATCACAATCCTTAGAATAGTGTCCAAGAGTAAATAGGCTCTGACTAAAGACTAAAGGGACTTTCCTGTGAGTTAGTCTATAAGTTGTAGTGCATGACCTTTGTGACATTTATTTTTGTTGTTTAGAGGTTTTTTTTTTTTTTAAACTTCCTCTTAGTTCTCTGCTCTGTTTGAGATGGTTGAGGAAGTTGAAGAAGTAAAGTGACATTATGTAATGATGAATATTGTTTTTCATAATAGGTGACAAAAAAGCCCCATTCTGTTTTACGGTAACTTTTTCTCCCCTACCAACTGTTATCGTTTACATTTAATCTAATATACTTTGTATTTACCTCTAAAAGGTGTTGGGAAAGTACAGTGGCCTGTGGGCAACTTCAGGATCATTTGTTAAATAGTTGTAAATAGACGCCAGGGTCCAATACTAAACTTTCCCCAATGGTGCTATTTTGTAGAGCTCTGTCTCAGGCACTGAAATCTTAGCTTTGTCTATTCTTATTTCATCCTTCCTGAAACTTATTTCTTATGCATCTTCTTTATATTCATTTCATGTTTTTTCAACCTTTGTAGTGCTAAGATTCTGTTTTGCCTACAAACTTGTACACTTTTTGTAGAAACAGAATTCTAATGATAATGTGATGTGTGTGAAATAAATAATAATTGAATTCATGAATTCATAATATTCATACCTCCCACCCCCAAATGTTTCCAAGACTGCTAAAATTTTCCCCATACGTTTCTATTTCTATCAACCAAAATGGTAGAAATCATAATGAAAGTCCCTTCACTTATTTAGTCTAATTTTTATGTTTCTGATTGTTTTATTTGAAAGCATTTTACAGAGCCAGAATATGTCTATGTAACGTAGTATAATTTCTATATAACTCATTTATTAAACTGTCTCTGTTTAATTATTTTTCTCCACCACTGCCTCCAACTGTGATTTTTAAAAAAATCTCCCTTTCCTATCTTCTAAGGATACCTCTAGTGGTTGATTTTTGGTTGGTGTGCACCAGCACTACCATACAGATTGTTAAAATATTGAAATAGTCCCAGTGGATTGGGGAGAAGCTGGTGCTACTCTTCCAGGACAAATGGAGTATCTGTGAACCAGAAACTACAGGGTTAATGCCTGGCACAACTCAGGACCTCTAGGACATGACTCCAGCCTTTCTAGCCTCCTTCCTGATAGATCAGTGTGCCTGCCATATTGATTATTAAACATTTTGACAATTAGCTACAGACAATTTGGTTCATATTGGAGTTAAAACCCTTCTCTCTCCTCCTCCCTGCCTGGCAGCTCAGGCCTAACCCAAGGCTTGAAGGAACCTGAAGTAAGGAAGGGGTGTGGCCTCTTTCAAGCCTCCTTCTTGCAGCTCTTTTGGTTCTAGTTCCTCAAGGGTTGGGGCCTGGGAGGT